GGAAAAGGGGAGGGTTGTGGGTGGGAAGGGACGTTATGGTGGGGAAGCCATTGTAATCCATAAGTCGTACTTTGGAAATTTATATTCATTAAATAAAAATTTAAAAAAAATGTCAGCAAAATTATAGAATTGCCACATCATTTGTCTTCATTTTTTAAATTCTGGTGCTTTTTTTATACTGGTGGTAAATTATATTTAATAGTTATTAATTTTTAAACATGCTATTCTCTATCTTCTTTATTATTTCTTAACATTAACAATTTTTATAATATTGCTGTATGCTCATTTGCATGAAAATATTTTTAAAGAATATTTAATTTTCTACTTTATAAAATTAGGGGAAGATACATGTTTATATTGAAGTTATCATTCTTGTGTTTTATGTTTTCAGAAAAATATTGATACATTTTTAAAAGGAACAAAGTGGAAAATTAATTTTAAATAGAAATTTTAACATGAATTTTCAATGTTTAAATTATTCTGATACTCTAAATGTAAATTTTTTAATATTGATAGCTGTGAACTAATAGTAGAGTTTATTTTTCAGTATATCTTGGCCTTAAGGTGTATTTGTAGGTTTGAAATAATAATACTAACAACATGATGTATTGTGAAATAGCATATTCCAGGTGTCATGCTTAGTGCTTTGTATGTACTTCCTTGCCACATGTTGAGCGTAGTCTAGGAACTCCTAATTTTGCCATTTTAATCCTAAACTATCTGAAGCCATTGGAGGTTATGTAATTCACTTAAAGACATAGGAAGTGGCAGCACAAGATTTCAAACCAGTCCAAAGTGGCCTCAAAACCCTAGCTTAAACCACTATAATATGAGTGTTCACAAGAGTACTGGGGCTACCTAATAGTACAGAGGCTGGAGTATCAATTGTTAAATATTTGGGGATTTTACAAGCTAGTTCTTTGAAATTAGCTATGAAAAGAATTGCTACAGATGGGACCATTTCTCATTCACCTCTTCCCCTCCTTAACCAATTGATCAGCACAGCCTTTACTGCTAAGGGTTTGTCAATGTTTTCTTCTGTATGAGTTAAAGAAATGAATACCAGGCAGAATATTTTTATTTTATACCAAGTAAAGTATTGGCTAGAAACCAATAACACTTAAGAAATTATCTATGAATAGTTAGAGAATAAAATAAGACAACTATTATAGTTGTAATATCTAAAGTGACCTCTTAGAGAAGAAAATTATGAAATAATGTACTCTCTCTTGTTTTCAGTGATTGTGGAAAGTGGAAATATAATGTCTTTTGTGGCTTATATTAATTCTGGATATTGTAACATCTATAGAAGTATCATAGGACTTGTGAGACTGCAAACGAATAAAGTGGTAAGCTTAAATTTCTGTATTCTCTTTAATGAATAAAGTGTGTTGGAATCCTTTTGGATACTATGGCCATCTTTTACTATTAATTTGTAAAATTTCAATTTTTAACTGTTTCATTTTTTTCCTTTATGTTGTGATGAGATATAAAAAGGTAAGTTATAAGATATATTGAGTTGTAAGATATATAAACAATTAACATTCTAGAGTACTTAACATGCTTATTCCCCACAGAAATGCAAATTAAAACCATAATAAGGTATTACTTAAGGTATATCAGATTGACTAAGGTGCAATTCACCGTATAACCTAGCAATTCCACTCAAGATACTTATTCAAGAGAAGTGAAAACCTATGTTTACACAATGTCGTACATAAATGCTTATCACCCAAAAAGTAGGAGTAATCCAAATGTCAATGGACATGTTGAATGGACAGAAACCTAGTGGTGTGTTCATACATTGGAATACCCCACAGCAGGAAAAATAACAAGCAACACATTGGATGCAATTGTAGGACATCACTTTGAATGAAATAAGCCAGACACAGAAAGACAAACACCACATCTTCTTCCTCATATGTGGGAGCTAAAGTTAAAAATAGGAAAACAAAAACAAAAACAAAAACAAAAATGAAATCCCTGTGTGTATCAGTATTGCTGCAAATATTTTTTGTCAAATTTTGTTTTATATCTCTGTCAACCCAATGGTTAAGAATGTTATGCAACTATGGGTTTAATGATGTGTGATTACTTTAAAATTTACTATAGAGGTGAAATGCTCATTGTCCATTTGATCCTTGTGTACATCCCTGGCCTATATCCTGCAGAACTAAGGTCTTTTTACTTGTTGTTCTCTTTATTTACTAGAGCATTAAGCCCTTGACTATAATTTTAGTGGAAAATATGCTATTTCAGAAACTAAAAAATAAAGGAAAGAAAGGGAGAAAAAAAGGGGGAGGGTAGGAGAGGGAGAAGGGGAATGATTTCGCTTTGTATTAATATTTCATTGCCATGAAAAAGTAAAGTATCAGAAAAAACATTTCAAAATTTACAAATGAACTGTTTAACACGTGCAAGAAAATGGATGAATTTCAAAGTTGGGTAAAATTGTTAAGCTCATAAGACTACATTCTATATAATATCATATTTATGAAATTCTAGAACAGGTAAAAAACTGATATATATATATAAGATAGAACAGGTAAAAGAAATGTTTGCACTAATTTTTTGTTGGTCATGTGGTCTTCCATGGAATTCAATGAAATATGTAAACTGACTTGAATTCTGCTATACTAGACATATTCAGTGTAAAGATTTTCCATTTGTAGAAATGAAAAATTGAATTATTTTATCTTTTAAAAAGATTGATTTATATATTATTTCAAAGGCAGAGTGACACAGACACACACACACACACACACACAAAGAGAGATTTTCCATCCACTGATTCACTTCCCAAATGGCTACAAAAGCCAGGACTGGGCTAGGCCAAAACCAGGAGCCAGGAGCCAGGATCTTCATCTGGATCTCCCACATGCGTGGCAGGAACTCAAGTACTTGAGCTATCATTTGCTGCTTCTCAGGTACATTAGCAGGGTGCTGGATCAGAAGCAAAGTAGCTGAGACTTCAACTAGCATACTGATAACTGATGTGAGTGTCCCAAGCAAAGGCTTAACCCATTGTGCCAGCACACACACCCTGCAAATTATATTGTCTCTGACCTCAGAATATTTACCAGAGACATCCACTTATTCCAAATTTATGTTCACCCTCCTTCCCTGAGGGCTATATATATATTTTTTTCCTGTTTTACTGCTCTCTACGTTCTGCTGAGTAAATTTCCCAGAAAAGGTCATTTGGAGTGTATACTTTTGGTCCATTAAGGTTTTAAGGCCCCTAATTTGGAATTAAATTGCTAGTTTCTTGAGTAAAATTTCACTTTCCATATATTTTTTCTGTATTGAACAGAAATCAAAGGAGGGGATTCTTTCTCTTTTAATTATACCAGTTTTAGCACTATCACCTCTTGCTTGTTATCTTTCTTTTCTATCAGTCCAGTAATTGTGCTTTGCAACCTGAGCTGAGTCAACAAATGGTACCTCACAAAACAGTAAGCTAAGTTATACAAGATGATGTCCTGGGATCCTGAAAAGTGTTTTCTAAACATTTCATGGATTGAAAAATTTAATTGGCAGATCATTAAATATAAATATTTTAACTTACTTGAAATATGATGAAGTTGTCCATTAATGTACTATTGTCCTGGTATAATTTTAACATCTGTATACATGTAAATGTTTTCTCTAATTTGAACAGAATTGCTAGTTTATTTTAAAATAATATATAACAAAATTATTCCTGAACAAGTGAGTTCT